TTAATCTTTCTCTCTACTTTGCTTTCAGCAATGCTGGCCAAAACTGGGTGCCACCTTCTCCTTCCTTGGGACAATTTAGCTGCTGGTTTCTAGCAGTAATCAGAGCTATGTGCTGCTTCTTTCATATCAAGCAAGTGTTAGAAAAACTTTTTTTCCCCGGTAGCTCAATGGAAAAAAGAAGAATCTTCTTCCCCACCTAACCCCCCGCCGACCCCAGGAAGTATCTCTTGTATCTCACTGGCCAGAGTTGTGACTTGTACCAATTTCTGAACCTATTATAATAGACCATAGGGATAATGTTCACAAAGTACTGTAGCTAATCAAAAATCTACCTCTTGACCAGAGATATATCTATCAGGCTACTAGGAGAAACAGAACCAATAGGAAGTAGATAAATACATGTATGTGTGTGTGTGTGTATATATATATATATATTTATATACATTTATATACATGTATGTATATATACATTTATATACATATATTTATTTACATATAAAATATATATGTATGTGTGTGTGTGTGTGTGTGTGTGTGTGTGTGTGTATGATATCTTATTACATAAAGAAATTCATTTCAAGGAGTCAACTCATCTGATTGTGGGGTCTGACATATTTGAAATCCATAGGACAGGCCAGGAAGCTAGAAACTATCTGGTAGAAGCTGATGTTGCAGACTTGAGGCAGAATTTTTTCTTCCTCTAGGAAACTTCAGGTGTTTCAACTGATTGGATGAGGCATGTCTACATTATGTATGTATGTATTTATATATGTATGTACGTATGTATGTATGTATGTATTTTGAGATGGAGTTTCACTCATTGTCCAGGCTGGAGTTCAATGGTGCGATCTCAGCTCACTGCAACCTCTGCCTCCCAGGTTTAAGCGTTTCTTCTGCCTCAGCCTCCTGAGTAGCTGGGATTACAGGTGACTGCTACCACGGATGGCTATTTTTTTTTTTGTATTTTTAGTAGAGATAGGGTTTCACCATGTTGGCCACGCTGTTCTCAAACTCATGACCTCAGGTGATTCGCCCACCTCAGCCTCCCAACATGCTGGGGTTACAGGCGTGAGCCACCATGTCTGGCTGCACATCTACATTATTAAGAATAATAGCTTTTAATTAAAGTCAGGTGATTGTAGATATTACACATATCTACAAAATACCTTCCCAGCAACACATGATAAGTTAGTGTTTGATTTAATAATTGGGCACTGTAGTGCCAAGTTGACAATAAACTATCATGGATATGATCAGTCTCTCCCAAAATATGTGATTGCAATTTTGAGTTGCTTTTGGAATTGACAGATTGGCAACTTAAGGTAGCCAACAAATATCTCTTAGAGTAGCTAACAGTACATGTATGAAAGGCTGCTCTGGGGACTGGGTTTTCAACTTGCTTAACATAGGGGAATACTAGGGACAAAAGTTATAGAAATAGTGATAAAATAGCTATCTACTAAAAAAGAACTGTTTAACAAAACAGTAGTGAGTTCCTATTACTGAGAACATTCAAATGTGAGCTAAGGACTATGATTTAAGACCCCAAATTAAGGCCCAGTTGTTACGAGTTCCTTAACTTCTTGGGAAAAAAAAAATATATGACTGTATACATGTACATATGTAAAAGGAAGAATGAGGATATATATATATATGTATATGGCACTATATGTATATGGTGTGTGTTTGTGTGTGTGTATATACATATAACTGGTTCTGTTTCTCTGGAGAATCCTGACATAATATCTTAGGTACTATTTGATGTTTATATCTATATCTATATCTATATCTATATCTATATATATATATATAATCAAGTTTGATATATATATATATACACAACATATATATAAAACTTGTATATATATACATGCACACACACACACGCAAGTTTGATGATATATATATATATCAAGTTTGATGATATATATATATAACATATATATATTGTATGTGTGTGTGTGTTCCTGAGGCCTTTTATTTGTAAATATGTATTACATCTCTAGAGAAAGAATCTCAGAATTTTCCCCCTGTGTGTTTTCTTCTTGCTTCTTCATGGCCCATGATATCAGCTGAGACTGTCAGTACAATGAAACCAAACTGGCAGGATGGAAGCAGATTATTCTGTCATTTTTCTAGATCTTTGAGTTGCACATCAGATCTGGGGCTGATCACTCCACACTTGTTTAGCCTGCCTGTGAGGTTCACAACAATTTTCCCAATTCTGTGATTGTCAGTGATTTCAAATTCGCCAATGTAACCATGCTTCATCATCACTGTGAGAAACCGGACAATAACTCTGGAGCTCGGCCTTATAAGAACCTGGCGTTTGCCTCTCTTTCCGGCATTGTTGATGCTCTTGAGAGCATCAGCTTTTGAGATCACATGCATGTGCACCATTGTGGTGGTGTGGAAGGAGCTATGATTTATATTTTTAACATAATACATATATATATATATATAAATTATTTTTTTTCTCAAATAGCCTAGCCACAAATTCCTCTCCCCACTATATTCTTGCAGATGAGGTTACCTAGCCAAACAATCCCTTTTTATCAAAGGGATCAAGCCTAATTTCTGCTTATCCCTCCTTAGCAGTTTCAGTTTCTGCCAGCTCAAGGAATTATCCAAACAAGCCAATCACATCCTTCTAGGAACCCAGGAGTACCCCAATCTCTTAAAATCTACTTCTCACAGCCCCTGGTTGTCTACTCTCTTGCTGAGTGTAACCCCCATGTGACCCTGCCTGGCAAGTAATGTCTTCTTCCCTTTGGCTGGGAGGGGAATATAGGTGATTAATAAACTTTAGACTCAGAAGACTTGCATGCAGCCATTAAACATATGAAAGAAAAGCTCAGTATCACTAATCATTAGAGAAATACAAATCAAAACCAAAATGAGGTACTACCTCACACCATTCAAAATGGCTACTATTAAAAAGGCAAAGAATAACAGATGCTGATGAGGTTGCAGAGAAAAAGGAATGCTTATACACTGTTGGTAGAAGTGTAAATTAGTTCAGCCATTGTGGAAGACAGTGTAATGATTCCTCAAAGACCCAAAGACAGAAATACCATTCAACTCGACAATCCCATCACTGGGTATATACCCAAAGAAGTATAAGTTGTTGTATTATAAAGACACATGCACACATATGTTCATTCATAATAGCAAAAACATGGAGTCAACCTAAAGGCCCATCAGTGGTAGACTGGATAAAGAAATGTGCTATATATACGCCATGCAATACTACACAGCTATAAAAAAGAATGAGAACATGTCCTTTGCAGGAATATGAATGGAGCTGCAGGCCATTATTCTTAGCAAACTAATGCAGGAACAGAAAACCAAATACCATATGCTCGTGCTTTTAAGTGAGAACTAAATGATGAGCACACATGGACACATAGAGGGGAACAACACACACTGGGGCCTACCAGAGTGGGGAGGGTAGGGGGAAGGAGAGGATCAGGAAAAATAGCTAATGGATACTAGAGTTAATAACTGGTTGATGAAATAATATGTACAACAAACACCCATGACACAAGTTTACCTACATAACAAACCTGCATGTGTGCCCCTGAACTTAAAAGTTAAATAAAATAAAAAATAAATTTAAAAAACCTTTTGTTTCATCTGGCCAGTGTTGGGCCAGATGAAATCCTGTTTGGCCATCTCAACAACCTTAGAATTGGAATCCCCCTCTCACCAACGGTGTATACAGGAGGTAGTTAAAACAGTGACTATATCTATATAGTCTCCATGTTTCTGTCCACTCACCCAGCAGTGATGTTGGATTGGGGAAAAATACAAATATTAGTTATGTAATAGTAATAAATGACTTGTGAGTTGCCTTTCAGTAGTAAGATTCTGTTATTTCTGTGTTTCCAATGCTAGTATTAGTATTTTTATTCTCCAAATAAAAACAGGGCAATTTGTTCATCATTCCGTTAGTGGCACCCATCAGATTATTTTGTAAACTGTTTATATATCTTTTCCTCTCAGCTCAAAGCACAGAAAGTCATGCTTTATTAATTTTTATGTATACTCCCAATATCAATGCTTGACCCATAGCAGATATTCAATTACTTTCTCCATTGGAATTTTATTAAAAAGTTACTAATGAACTGTGAAGTTCATCTTAAAACAATGTAATGTATAAGTAAACATTGTAAATGTAAATTCTCTAACACTGCTGAAATCCAAACTCACTCTACCCACCTTTAAACAGAGGGAATGATGTCTTGAGAGTATTGCCCAATTTTCTCTTCTCATTCACTTTCCAAAATGCATGCTAGTTGCCTTAAGGCTTCTGAAGAACCCTGAAGGCAGCATCTTACTTTGTGTAGGAAGAAGCATTAGTATAGCTACAAGGTGATCCCAACTCCTGCCTGTCTGCTGGTTCTGAATGCTCCATTCACTTCAGAATCCCTGCTGAGAGATAATACATTGCTTCTGCAAGAAGGCATTTATTTTAGTCATGGTTTCATTCCTTGAGTTTATAGCTACATACCCTATTCTAAATTATAGAAAAAACATGGAGAAAGCTAAAATGACTGGACTGAACATATATGACATCTTTTTTATGATTTCTATTTTATTAGTTATTGTATTTAAATTGACATACTCATTATTCTTTTGATAGAATGACATATGCTTCTTTCTCTACCCATAGATTTAAGAATTTTTAAAGAAGATTTGAAAGACCTGGTTTGACAAAAGAATTTTTCTAACTTATGAGTATATTGTATCCCTTCACAAAGATATACAATAAATAGTGTTTATCAGCAGCAATAAAATTACATTAAACCAGCTCAGGTGTTTGAAACTCAAGATGTATATTTTGCATATCCATGTCTTTATACAACACCAAACACTCGGTAAATATATATTGGTTAAATCATACAATAATAGAATGTGCTGTCTTCCATTGATCATAGACTTTAGAAAGACTTTAATATAACAGAAGTGTTTTCACTATCTCCTGGGTTTACCCACAGTAAACAAATCCGAGCTATGCTGGGCCGGTTCAGCCAGGCAGAAACCTTGTTAATGAAAGCTGAAGTGCAGCCAGGGACTTTTGATGGAGTTCTTATGGATCTTGGATGTTCCTCCATGCAACTTGATACTTCTGAAAGAGGTTTTTCCCTTCGGAAAGACGGCCCCTTGGACATGAGGATGGATGGTGACAGGTGAGTATTGATAAAGCACTTCTTCTAACAAGAAATCAATTTGTCACAAATGCTCTGAATTTAATTTTTTTAAGACTACAAAATTTCCATCACATGCCTAGACCTAACACTACCAATACATAATAAATCAGTTTGTTCGATACTCATTATACACATCAGTATTTCTCTGGATTTGGGATGTTTAAAGAAAAACAATTACTACCTTTACATAAAATAGTGAAGAGGATAACGAGGATAACTTTCACTCTGATTTTCTTTTTTACTTACACAATATAGGTTTTAGAGTGTTAACCGGTATCAATAAATATCATGATACTGAAACAATGGTTCCATTTTTATGCCTGCCCAACTATGTCTCTTTGAGAAGCTAAAAGAACTATATATATTTAATGCATCCTCTTTTAGAATACCAAAAAAAAAAAAAAAAAAAAGGCAAGATCTTAGAGGTCAGCAAGTGTTTTGTCCTGTCTTGTACAATCATTTTGTTTGAACCTTCTCCAGAGAAACTGCAATTTATGGTACTATATCAAACATAGTCGTATACATAGGATATCTTTTAACCTCCTCTTCCTGGGAATACTATAATTTATTTTCCATTATTCAAATATATTAAATAACACAAAGACAATCATATTCTAGGAAAGTATAGAAATAATTCCTTCCTTCCTCACTCCCTCACTCCCTCACTCCCTCCCTCCCTCCGTCCCTACCTCCCTCCCTCCCTTCCCTCCCTCGCTCTCTCCCTTCCCTCCCTCGCTCCCTCCCTCCCTCCCCCAGGCTGGAGTGCAGTGGCATCATCCTGGCTCACTGCAGCCTCCTCCTCCTGGGTTTAAATAATTCGCATGCTTCAGCTTCCTGAGTAGCTGGGATTACAGACATTCACCACCATGCTTGGCTAATTATTTTTGTATTTTCAGTAGAGATGGGGTTTTGTCATGTTGCCCAGGCTGGTCTCAAACTTCTGACCTCATGTGATTTGCTTGCCTTGGCCTCCCAAAGTGCTGGGATTAACAGACGTGACATGCCCAGCGAACAATTTCTTTGTATTAATTGTCCAAATTAATGTTAAAAGCTTAGATTAGGATCTGTGTCTATTCTCAATACTGACCTAGGGAATGGACAGCCTGTACTTGTAAAACTTAACTGTGCTTTTCTCTCTCATATCATGCCCCATCACAAACTGCTTTGTTTTGTGGTAATTATTCACATATAGCGTTTTTTCCTATGTTGTGATATGACCTGTTAACTTGGCACATGACCTATATTTGTTGGGACCGTGTCATTCCCAAGTGTTTTACCTTCTTTTGCACATGTTGGCATTCACAGAATGAAGGATATAATTATAAAAGAAAATAATAAAAAGCATTTAAAAACAAGTAACTAATAATAAAGTTCAAATATATTCTCATGTGTGGAGATGGAGGTGGTTCTGCAGAGGTAATAAAACATCAAGTCAGTTTCTGAAATACAGTGAACAAAACTTCTAGTTACTAGTAGTAAATCCCATATTGTTAATTTAAAGACTTATCAGCAAATTATAGTTTGTGAATCAGGGTCCCTGAGGTTTTCCCAAGAACTTGAAAATAACATTGACACTAAGAATTAAACTCTTAAATCAATACCTAATCGATGAGTTGTGTAAATCTATCTTAAAATGTTTAATGGCTTTCAGGTAGATGGTATAGACTGTAACTTAATCAAAAATTTCAACATATCTGACGAAAGTATGTGACGTTTGAAAAGGGGGAGTTGATTCACATGAATTCATTGAAAAAGAAAAGTCATAGATGCAAATATGTGCAATGCTTATCCAAGTGGTATATGTTTGTTTTGGCTAATCCTGGTCGAAAAATATGGCCTGTTAGTTCCTGAAGGGTGAGAGTATCCCTGTGATGAAGACAAATGCAAGTGACTTCCTTAACCAGTCACCATTTGACAGTAGAGTCTTAAAACATAATTTATTCTGTGCTGATCCCAATTTCAACAGCAGCTGTCATATTACAGTAAGCCTTCTCATGTGGAAGCCATGGAAAGAAGTCCACAGCTTCAGGAATTTGAGAGTCTAGTTCTGTTAATAGTTATAGTTTTCACTAGAAGGTAATAAATTATCACTTGTGTTTATATTTTCTTCGTTTAGTCACTGTAAGTCAGTGAACTCTGGAGGACTGACAAGATCAAATCTATTAACCTGTTAGTTGGAGGGCAGCTCTTGGATCTTGACTCCTTGACCATATGAATGCCTATTCTCAAGCTGCGTAGCAGCCTGCCAAACCTTACAGTGTTGTAACTTTCCAGTGTAGCACTATGGAAACTATGCCATCAATCACTGCTAATATAAGAGTAAGAGAAAATTATGTGTATTGTCCAATTATTCATTCAGAGTACAATTATGTGTGTTGAACAAAATGCTTTTAAATTTTCTTATTTAAAGATAGAAAAGTATCATTAAAAACTGCTAAGTACATCCATACTCATCATAAAATTCTCTTGGTAAAGCTGGACTGTATCCTATGTATAAATTTCTAAATTTCACATCTTTAACAGAGTGAATTCAAATGCTCAGTGGTTTGAGCAGTTGAATTCACAAATAGGTCAGGTTTAGCAGAGATTTTGCTGTTTAAACCGCAAATTATGCCTTGCAAATTTATGAATGAGGAAGATCTAAAGGGCAATGGCATGCATTGAGCATCTCTTACGTTCCAGGCATTATATTTCTGTTTTACAATATGTATACCAATAATTGTCCAAACCATTCTGTGAGTTAAGAATTCTTACTTTCATTTCATAGGTTAAAAATTGGGGCTCTAATAGGTAAAAGATTGTACTCAATGTGAGTAGCCAGGCCAGGATTCTAATTCAGATCAATTGAACTCCAAAGACCAGATTTTCATCCTGAAAACTGAAGAAGCAAAGTCTGCTGATATAGAAACAGGGCTACTTTAAAAGATATTCATTGTTCTGTGGGTTTAGTGGCAGACCTACATAAAAACAATTATTGTAAGATCTGAAAAGCAAGGTTTGGACAAAAAAGAGAGACAAAGAGACATCAAGAGAGATGAAAGAGATGACAAATCTGGGGACAAGCCAAGGACAGCAAAAAGATTTTCTCCTGGAGGCACTAGGCATGTTAACAATGTATATTTTAGTATTTTTAAGGAGAATTTCAGGTGTCTCTTGGCAACCCCACTCTGGTTGAACCCTCAGGTCTTCAAGCTACCATATTCTTATTACTTGTAAATACTCACAATGTGTTACCAACAATCAATCCAACATATTAACTATAAGAGAAGTAACTGTACCATTAGCAAAGCTATTTTTCTGATATGTAAGGTCACAGTTGGCTTATCACTTAGAATTATTTGGCCTATTTCTCTAAAGTAAACACGAATGGTCTGACTGCCATTTCTGACTATAATTTATTTTATTTGACCACAGGTTTGTATTTTTTATTCCTCCTCCCCCTAAAATTATTATCTAGACTTGATCAATACTGCTTCTTGATTACCAGGTTTTACCATATGGTGATCTTTGTTATGAAGGAATGAGCAAATATTGTTAAACATTTGAATAATATGCATTATTGCCATTAAGATTGTTTTGAATTTTATGAAGGAAACTGACTGGCAGTATCTTTTTGTATAGATTTTCTAAGTTCAATTTGTGTCTACACAAGTAATCAATTGTTTTACAGCCTCAGATTTAGTCAAGTTCTTCAGATTTAGACTCGTTTAAATATCATCGGCATACCTCGTATCTTCTATACTGAAAAAAACATTCAAGCAGCAATTTAAATTTTGAACAACTTAAATCTAAACATTTTTCGTTATTTTAGTTTGAGAAAAATATACAGGAACAGTAAACATTTCTTTTTGAATGAAAGTTAAAGGTTAGTATATTTTAACTTCCTGCTGCCTTGACCTTGATGAATATTACAAACCATCACCATTGCCATAATGATGAGTATTTGAAATGGAAAGTCTATTTCTTGTGTTTAAGGTTTCAGTCTCTGACTTTAAAACCTCGTCTATGTGTATATGTCTGACTTTATATCTCAGTACTCTGAAGTTTCACCTCTTGTCAATGAAAACTGACGTCAGTGAACTAATTGGCTCTTCTTGTGCGTAGGTACCCTGACATGCCCACTGCTGCTGATGTTGTGAATGCTTTAGATCAACAGGCACTTGCATCTATCCTAAGAGCGTATGGGGAGGAGAAGCATGCCAAGAAAATCGCTTCAGCAATTGTTCAGGCACGCAGCATCTACCCCATTACCAGAACCCAGCAGCTTGCCAGCATCGTTGCAGGTAGCCTCATTAATTGTCAACAGTGTCTAAGAGAAAAAAAGTATATTTTCATGGTGTGTGTGCTTGTGTGTGTGCATGCATGCACATGTATGTGTGCGTTAATCCCCCAAACTCCCAGAGGGATTCATTTGTACTTGAAATCACGCTTGTTAGAATCTTACCTATCCTTTTCTAGTGTCAGTTTTCTTTTGCCTTTGCAAGCTTCTCCCCTTCAAAACCTCTCCCTCACATAAAAAGTTTTTAAAAATGTACTGTAGTTTGATAATTTGTGTAATGGAAGATTTTTTTTAACATAAGATAATGTATGATTTGTGCCTACCAAGGTGAAACATGGAATGATACGCCAAAGGATTTCTTGATCCATCACAATGGTTGATAAGCACCCTGTATAAGATCTGACATTATTTCTCTTAGTTTCACATTTCTGCATTTTAATATTTTGGGCAAAAGGAGAATTGCATTGCCCAAATGCTAAAATAAAATCCGGTGACTCATATTTCTATTCTAAACAACCAGCTAACAAAGGGTATGTGATGTATAGGTTATTCCACTTTGTGAATGCTAACTAAATCAGCCCGAGGGGCTTATTGAAACATTTTATCTTTTCTGCTATTCTGCTATTCACCACCATAAACCTCTTGAACCTAACTCTAGCTAGGAGGTGCTTTATTATGGCCTTTCTGTTTGAAACCAAAGTTGTTTCACAGCTGTGTTCCATGATGAAAGTTTTCCAAGGTAAAACTATAACTCTTGCAGTTTAACAGAATTCCAATGGTAAATTCTTCATCTTGTTGGACCATCTGAAGCCCTATATCATTTTTATTTACCAAATGTGTTAGGCATTTTTTAATGCTTCCTATTAAATTACTTAAGTAAAGAAGTTTTTTAAAAAGGAATATTTGTGTAACTGATAAAAAGAAACTATTAGCTGCCTCTTAATATTATTCATAGTTTAGGGAGTAAAACTTAATTATAAATTCATTTAGATCAGTAGGATTTAGAGATCATAGCAATTATTTTATTACATAATTAAATAAGATTATATCCTACTTAGTTATTATAATAAAATATAAAGAGTTGACTAGCCTTTAATTTTTTAAGCCGCATACCTCAGGGGCCTTCAAATTTACCATTGAGATTTCTTTGGGCAAGTTTAGGAGGAGAATTCTTGTGGTTATATGAACAAAAAAATTTCATTTTTTTCTCCTCAAAAAAGAGCTTTTCCAAGCATGTTGACATTAAAGTCACCCTCTGTCTGGTGTTCCTTTTCTTCTTCCTACTCCGTACTCAGTAACACATCTCCACAGTATCCTTTCTGTAATTCTTTATGTGTGTTATTTTCTCTCTCCCATATTGGAAACAAAAGCAGTGAGAAGTTATATTTTTTATTCATAAACAAATCTAAAATTGGTGCTGAAAATGAGGGCCTGGGGCTAGAGAGCATCCTAGAAATTGTCCAGTCAGAAAACCTCATCTGATTACTAAGGAAACTGAGGCTCAAGGAGGATCAATAGTTTGCTCAGGGTTACAGCCTAATTAATGACAGGGTTAATAGTGGTCTAGAATTTGGAAGCTCATGAATTTTTTCTGTCTGTGCATCCTACTTTGTAAACTTGGAGAAATAACACTGTGGCATTAAGTAGAAATTATGTGAAGGTGTACAATAGGATCAATTTAAGTACTTTCAGAAAGATTATGATATGAAAGCACATTGAGCTATAAGAAATGATACAGTAAAAGTGAGAATATTCATATATGGTAAATAAAACTTCATTTTAGTAAATACCATTAAAACATCGAGTTATCTGGAATGAGGCTATTTTTATGTCTTAAATATCAGTCTATAATAATAAAACTTATTAATATGATTTTTTGAAAAAGTGAAAATCAAAAATGTGTTTTCATTTTGTGCTCATTTGTTTAAAAAATAGTTTGAGAGAAGCTGCTCTATACTTGGTACTATCGTAAACACTAAAGGTAAAGTTGGAGCGAATCAGATATAATCTCTATGTATATAGTTTATAGAATAATAGATTATACAGTCCGGGAACTAAATAAAAACATCATGTAATAACTTCTTACAGTGAAAATTCTCTTTCTTATTTATTATAATCAAGAGTTATGATAATATGGTCAATAGAAAATTTGATAAAAGCAGAGAATTATAGAACCTAGACAAATATGTGTGTGTGTGCGTGCTTGGGTTTTAATTGCAACTTCACAAAGTCAGTCTTAATAAACCACACCCATGACATAAGTCCTACAAGTTCTGGTTAGAGTTTTAGTAAAATAAGTAAGACTTTAAAGGCTTGGCATAGCAATCTGAATGAGAATTTTTTCTAGATTTTCATGATCTCATTTTAGTCTTTTATAATTGCCTCACTCATACCTAATCAGATTGAATTTTTTAAGTGATTCACCTTTAACAGGGGTTTCCAAAGTTTCCAACAGTGAACATTCTAGGCTGGAAGTGCACAGCTCTTTTGATGGGACTAGAACTGTATAGAAATACCAGAGAATCCAAAGAATAGAATCCTACCCTCACACAGTTTGTTTAACAGAGAAAAGGGTTAAATCTGTCAAGTCCAATAAATCAAGAGCTGCTATATAAAGGAAATATGAGATGCAATTGGTAAGGCACAGGTTTCCTAGGGCTGCTGTTACTAAGTACTACAAACTTGGTGTCTTAAAACAGCAGAAATCTATTCTTTTACAGTTTTGGAGACTTGAAGTCTGAAATTAAGATGTTAGCGGGATCTTGGGGAAAATCCTTCCTTACTATTCCTAGCATCTGGCAGTTGCCAGCAATCCTTGGTGTTCCTTGGCTTGTAGATGTATCACTGTTTCTGCCTCCATAGTCACTTGGTGTTCTCCCTGGGCATCTGTCTTTGTGCCCAGATTTCCCTCTTTTTATAAGGATACCAGTCATGTTGGATTTAGGGCCCACACTTAATCTAGTGTATCCTCATCATAACTTGATTATATCTCCAAAGACCTTATTTCCAGGTCAGATCACATTTATAGGTTCCGGGTAGACATGAATTGTGGGGGACTCTATAAACCCAGTACAATTCCTAAGCAATATGTTTGTTTAACAAACATGTATTTTGGCAAGATATAAAATGCAGTGACTATATTTAAATGTGTTTTCTGATTCTGATAAATTCATACTAAATATGTTCAAAACTATCAAGCACTCTAGGAAATATGCAGCACAGTTCTTGACACATATTAAAATCCATATTAATGGAAATATAAATTGCTTTCTTTGATTTCCAAAAGCTAATAATTCAGTAGGACAAGGAAAAACAATGCACTTGGAATCACACACTCACTGGGATCCTGTAAGTCAGATGATTAAGCTGTAAATTGTAAAATATAAAGTTTAGTGCCTTTTGCTAGTATTGATAACTACAGTTCCAGTACTCTTCCACATCATGGGAGTTCTAAAAGACAGATCAAGGCTCCAAGTTAGAACAGAGCACTTACAAGCATTGTGAATTACTTTGCAAATTATCAAAGCAGTAATTTATAAGTAACTTACAAGAGAATTCCAAAAACAACCTGTAGGATTTCACTGTTCTTATTACCACAAATGTTCATACATATACTATTCAGAACTACCAGCCATGAATCTTAATATAAATATTTAACACATTTGCAGTGTTATATACAGTGTTCCCTCCAAAAACAATTTATAAATAACATCCACATTTTATTAAGCATAATGTTTATTCTAATGTTCTAGCTAAAGAGTTAAGAGTTCTAAAATCTAAGAGTTGAAAATGGCCTAAGGGACTCATCTAATCCCAAACTAGATTCTTCATCACCTCTAATAAATGGTCATCCAGCTTTAGCCTCTTCATCTTCATGTCTCTTACTCCCCATTGTATTCCAGTGAAGACAAACACATTTCAGTCTGAAGTTGCCAGTTCCATAAATATAATACAGTTCTAGAGGCTTTAAAAAGGAAAGATTTCTTAGAATAAAGGACAAACTCCTTTAAATGGAGTAAAGGCCAAACTCCTTTAAATGGTTTGCAACTTCCTTCATGAATTGGCTCCTACCTGTCTTTTCATCTTCCCCTTTCCACATAATAGTCTTTGTTCCAGCCATATTGAAGTTCTTGTAGTCTTTCCAGTACACCATAGTCATTCACCTGCAGGCCTTGGATGTCCTTCTGCCTGGAATATTGACCTTCCTATTCTCTCATCTCCCTGCCCTACCCCTTTCCTTTTCTCTGGCTAATTTCAGCTCATCCTTTAGAGCTTAGTTGAAATGTCACTTCCTCACAAAGTTTTTTCCAACCCTACTCACATTAGTTGAGATGCTCTCCTATGTGCTGCCATCGTACTGCATTCTCTTGTCTGGCACTTCTTATGCTATATCTTATTGCCTGCCTACTATTTAAATATTCCCTTAGATTTATATTGTGCAGCACCATTGTCAACAGCCACATGTGGCTATAAAGCACTTGAAATGTAGCTACTTCGAATTAAGAGGTGCCATGAATCTGAAATACGCACCAGATTTGAAGACTTAATTTGAAAAAAAAATAATATTACAAAAATAATTTTATCCTCATTACATGTTTAAGTGGTAATATTTTAGATATATTGGGTCAAATATGGTATTAAATTAATATTTTGCTTTTTAAATAATGGCTATAGAAAAATTTTAAATAACATGAATCACATTGTATCTTTATTGGACAGCATTGTTCTAGAATATAAGCACCAAGATTATAAGCACTATCTTCACTTTTGTACTAATTACTGTGTCCCAGCGTTTAGCCTTATGTTTGACCCTTGAAAGGTATTTAGTAAATACATTTCTTAGATTTTTTTTAATCAAAAAACTTGTTTTTAAGTGACAGGGTCTCCTTCTGTGGCCTAGGCTGGAGTGCAGTGCTGCAGTCATAGTTCAAGGCTGCAGTGATCTGTGAGCCTCAAGCTGTCCTCCTGACTCAGCCTCCTGGGTAGCTGGGGTTACAGGTATAA